TATTTGACTTCTAGTTGCAGGCACTGATATTAATTAAAAAAAAAGAAAATATGATCCATGGTATCAGGATTAAAAATAATTTCCATTAAAAATGCCATTGAAATCAAAGTTATAAAAATACATATACACTGGCATGCAAAACAATATCCAGTGCAGCATTACTCTCCTGGCAGTCCACAGTAAGACCTGAAAAAGTTAAGTGCAGCATATACAGATGTCAGTAAAAGCAGCCTTGAAATAACATCTTGGCCTCACGATCTCTCCCAGAGGAGGGAGACCTTTCAGTCTCGTACTAGGAGTGGAGATTAGACATGCCATCCACTTCAGTGCACGTGCTGCCAAAGCCACAAAGCATGGCAGACCTTCCTAAAGAAGTTGCACAAAATCACTCCAAAGCACAGACTGACTACTCTGCATCAGCTTGCTTAACTAGATCAGACATTTGGCTTCAACACTTGTTGCCTAGATGCTCTTTAGAGTAAATATCAGTGAGGTCAAAATATTGCTCCTAGTTTAGGGATCTGGGATTTAGGGCTTAGGCTGCAGATGCTGAAAATAACAGTCTTAGTTACTCATAATGGTAAACATTCACATTTAGTATTTGATTTAGGATACATATGACCTGCTGTTGCCTTCCTCTATTAAGATTTTGCTCAGCTGTAGTAGAAAGATTTCTCCAAGAGAACACACAATTTTCTTTGGCCTCATTCTAATTCAACTTCTCCATTTTCACCATGCACTTAATTCTTCAATCTTAACTAAAACTTTCTAGTAACTTTGTAGTGACAAAATGAACTCTGGGGTTAAGTCTGGGGGGTTTGTGGCTAACAAATCAATGTGCAAATTGTGTCATGTGACAAAGCATGCAGCATAGCATTTAAAAACTGTTCAAAATCCTCTCTAGAGAAACAAACTAAAGTTCAAAAGGAAAGCACAGGCCTTTGAGAATAAAGAGGCATAAGGCCTTTTACTTTGTAGAGCCATCCAACAGCTTTAAGATCAGATACTTTAAATTTTCTATGCGCTATATCCAAGACCTCTATTACCACTTAGCTGTAGTTACTATGACAAAGTACAAAACTTTTAATTGTTCCTTTGAAGTTAGTTGAAATTTCTGTACTCGCTAGCCAGTTTATAGACTGAGGTTATGCTACCTAATTGTTGTGTTGATGTATCTTGCTGGCATTTCTGTTCGTACGCAAGTTTGACTTTAGAACCCAGGTAAGCATGCATCTCTATTCACGCATCCTCCAGTAGTTGTGACTCAAAGGAGGGGCAGAACAACTGCCATAGAAATGAATTTTCTAAAGCATGTCATTCTGTACAAGGATGTTCTCTCGTACTGATACTACCTGTTTTTCCCCCGTTACTTTATCTGTTGATTCTTAGGCAAGAGAAGTCTGGAAGAGGAAAAAACTGTGCAGCTCAAAATACCTCAAAACCTGGCAAATCCTATAGCTTGAGAAGGTATCAAAAGAGGACAAGTGGCGCCTGAGAACACTGCCCGCAAAGTCAAAGAATAGGCTTGTTATAATCTATTCTCCTTCTCCTAATCAACTCCTCTAAACTCAGAAATAGCCCAAGTGTTATGTTTGGACTTCCCTGAACTTGCTGGAAGACTTGAGATTTATCACTATCTTAATACTTTGGCTAAAGGGAATTCCGTCATAAAAGTGCAGTGTTTAAACAATCGTTAACAAGTTTGTTCATATTTCAGCTGGAATTCAAATTTATTTAAACTATTTAAAGGACTTAGTCCTTCAAAAATAGGTTCATTTAAACCAAAACAACAAAAATCAAAACACAATCCTGAACTAATTTAGCCCAGTCAGTTCTGCATAGGGAATGTAGGGGAAAAGCTGTGGATAGGAAAAAGAAGTCAAGCTAACAAGTCACATTACTGGAGTGAGAAAGGGAGATCTGAATTGAGGAAGAAAGAAAGAAAGAAACAAACATTGATTCTTTGTCAAAGGCACCTTTCCTTCTAAAATCTCTCAGAAATTAAGTATGTAGTGGGCAAAAAGCAAGACAAAATGTTTAAGAATCCTAAATAAAAACTACTAACCTTTCAGTCATGTTTTACCTGCTTTTCCATTTCTGCAAGATGCTTTCCGCCCCTGCCCCCCAGGTGCTGATAAAGGTCTCCATGAAAAAAAAAAAATTGCCAGCTGCTGTTTTAAAGGGACTTAGTAAAGAAGTGAGCAGATACTCCTTTGAAGCCTACGTAATATAGATGGAAGTCAGGACTATCAGGGTTGCTATTTTACTTCAAAAGTCATTTTTGAGCGTATCACGTAGTTGTACGAAGCATTGCTCACAACCATAGCAATACGCTTTCTCTAGTTTCATTGTCACCTCGCATTTCAAAGGCGTTTATTGCTGTATTTCAGTTTTTAATAAGCCTCCTGGACTCATGTAAGGATTAAATGGATCCAAAGAAAGACCATCTCCCACTCAGATCAGACTGCTGACCAGGTCAACCACTCAGCACTATGGAACAATGAAACAGCAATGGCCAGAAGCGTTGATCTTAACGCTAGCAACATCCAGGTGTCTATTTTTCACTGTGATCAGTGTGATGTCTGAAGAATAAAAGTAAGTTCTTACCAAAAGCTCTGCAAAGCTCAGCTACACGCACAATCAATTACCTTTGCTGAATGCAACATTATATAACTACAGTTCACTTTTACTTACGAGCTTTCAGAATAAATACCTATGCCAAGAGAAACTCTTGTTACTTAACGTTATTTTGAAGTCTTCTCCAGTATCCAAAGTTTATTGCTATACTTCAGATTGCAACAATAGGTTACATCTCCTATATAGTGAGCTTCTTCAGCCAAGTTCACCATCAGAATCAAACTGGACTATATTGTTTTATTTTCCTGAATAAAACATTAACATTGGGATACCTAACTATAACTTAAAAGCTGGCCCTATTAATTCTATTAGTAATGACACATCTCGAACTAACAGAAAGTGGGGCCAGTATTGCTGCACCTGTCATATTTTGTCATTCTATTCATCTGAAAGACATTTATTTCTTAGGAACGTTTCGAGATCTGAATCTATGAAGTCAAATATTTTTCTTCAGGCCAATTCATACAGTTAAGCCTTTATCCCCATTAGTTATGAAAAGTTGGTGTGAAAAAACAAAGCCTGCAGCACCAGTAGCACTGAAACATTATACTGCAATGGAACTGGTAGAATCATGCAAGGTTTCTCAAACATCCCAAACGCATGCCGTAGGTACTAGCTGGTGTACATAAATCTTTCCTTAGTATCATTAAATGCAATTTAATAAACTAATAAATAACTTAAAAGGCATTCAACATAGTAAGATAGTTTATCACCAGCTTAAATTCTTGATTTTCAGCATTCATTGACAGTTCGTTTTCCCATATGGTAGGTTTGCTACGTATTAAATATTTCATTAAGCTTTTCCATTTATAAATGCTTATTATATGCCAAAGCTGTACACAAATTCAAGAGAAAAAGAACTAACATAAAAACAGCTAGTATTAGTTAAAAAAACTACTGACCTCTGCAAAGTGTAATATTAACTTTTTAAAAATGCTACTGCATATAAATCCCCATTCCTGTTTTGCAATTACACAAAACATCTGAAAAATTGTCATTCTACTTTGTTTTGCAATGGTTTCATACTTGGAATCTATTCCTCCAGTTGAGCAAAACTTGTGAAGTTAATGCTTTGCTCCTCCTTACTATAACTGTTTTATTATACAGAAAATTTGTTTCTGAAGCCAAGAGATATTACTTGTTACTATATGGCCAAGTTAACACAGATTAGAGTGGCAAAAGATGATGATCTGACAGAGCAGAAATTTCAAGATTAACAGTTTAAGTAGAGCTTTTCTTCCAAAAGAGCATAAGTTCTTTAGTATAGCTAAGTACCTTTGAAGAGGCACCAAAAACAAGTAGCCCTTTCCACTGAACTTTCAAAAAAAATTTAATTTTCATTTCAAAAGGGATCTTGAAATTACTAGATACACACACATCCCTCTCCCACGGCCCTGTAAGATACATTCAGTAATTTAAAATAAAGTTTCCA